ACACCTCGTATATATTTCGAACATTTACCAAAGGTCTAGTCATACTAGATCTAGTTAAGTGACATTGCTCAGTATACATTTGCTCGGTATATCCCGCATTGATATTTTTTTAAGGTCAAGTGCCAATGCCCGGTATACATTTGTCCGATACTCCAAACACTGATATTTCTTCTAATCTATCGTCAGTAAGTATTAAAATATCGAATAAATGTAAGCATATCCATAAATAAATTAACTTCAAATCGGATGTCATAAATATTTCGGACATTCACCAAAGCGACTATGTGATTGTCAACATTCACCGGTGAAAGTCAACAACCACTGATTTCTGTCATTCACAGTAACATGCACATCTTTTACATAATAACCTCATCAGGACGTTTATTTCATACTTTGCCTAAATAGCATTTGGCATTCTATAGAAAGCCTAGGCATTCTATGTAATGCCTAGGGAAAGTATGTAATAATTCTCACATTTCATTCTTTGCCTAAAAACATCCGATGTTCTATACAATGCCTATGCATTCTACACAATGCTGGCGTTTCATACTTTGCCAGTAACATATACATCAATGTGATAGCTTAATTCGTGTCTCACTCTATTTAACATGGTGCTATTCAATATACTGACAAGCACTTTTTCACACAAGATCACGCACCAAAGGAGCTTAAAAAAAAGTCTTCCACCTGCAAGACACGATGATAAGCCCTGTGGGAACTGATGCAAAAGAAATGCGTCATTTCTGGAGGCAATTGTGTCCTCTGGGCTTGAGGCTTAATCACTCACTCTGAAAGTCTCCTGAAACCCCAGTTATTAATAGTTCTGCATTTAGGGCATCTAATAATGTACTATTTTCAAAGCAGGAAAAAATCGAGTTAGGACAATTACTAGTTAGCAAGTTGAAATGACTTTGGTAATTACTTCAACCTGGACTATTAAAAAAGTTGAGCTCCGCTTACAAGCTATACCATGCACATTAAGATACAAACTATATTTTTTTAATAGTTTGGTATTTTTTGAAATGTCTAAAATTATGATTGGAGGCAACGTCACAAAAAAGTTGGTCTTTTTAATGTTTTGAGAGCTAAGTAGAAAAAGTAGTGTAAAGGAAATTTCAGAATTTTTAGAGATTTCACGCAAAACATTCTTATCATAGACTATAGAGTATTAATGCATTTCTATAGAGCATTAATGCATTTTTCAAGTCTTTTAATGTTGCTGATCTAAAGAGAATGAAGTTACCAAGAGACAATCTTTAATGTGTTTTAGAGTTAAGGAGAAGATCATAAATGCATTTAGCAACAGGTAAAAACGTTAGAAAGTCTTTTTTTTTTTTTTTGTTTTTTTTTGTATGCTANAAGTTTTTTTTTTTTTTTTTTTTTTTTGTTCTTCAAGAAATGACCCATAACTCCGTGGTTTCACACCAGGTAAAACTGAAAGTGACCTCATGCTGTATTACGTGACTATGTCTCGGATTCGCTTTAATAAACAACCGCTAGGAGTGCGGATACTGAGTCCCTAGTAAATCCAGAAAATATAGTATAAAATGACTAACATTTTGGGACGCGTCCTCTTGACATTTAACACGATTGAATGCCTGCAAGTGACGTCATCGTTGGTAAATCGTGACATGTGTCGATTCAGAAACCTATCAGGTTCGATACACACGCATGATATCGCTTACAGATACCCAATTTAATCTGATTTCAGTCATATAGTTAAGACATAATCATTTTTCGAGTTGCAAGTACCGATTTACATAAAACAGCAGGATGAAAAATGATCACAGTACAATAAAATTTACGCATTTACACACTATGTAAACCGCTGAATGAATGTAAATGAAATATTTTAATACTGTTCTTCAAAGTCTCTTTCATCTTCTAAAACACGGATAACTATTTTTAAGCTTATTTTGAGTTTGTATCATTTATTTATGACAGCTTAGTTAAACCGTTTTTAGTCATCATTCTATATACTGATTATAAAAATGGCGCAAAATTGAGAAAAAGTTTTGTTATAATGAAAAACGTTTGTTATCTAATTTTTTAATGTTTTAAAATAAGTGACACCAACTTTGCATTGTTTGTGCCTATAAAAACCTATCCAAAAATTAAAAATTCTTCGTTAATTTTCAAGAATTTTATCTAGGTGTTCGCACCAAATTGGCAACTCATTATAAATTTTATAATTTTTTTCCAAATTATCAAGTTGTTTATCCATTTTGATCGACAATTTTTTCCAATAGAAGAGCATATACAATTTCAACTTAAAGTTTTGTTTCGAATTTAAAGCTTCAGTCAAACTATGATTTTTTAATTATTTAAGGTTGCTGTTTTATGTAATGTAAACAACAATCTCTTGACCGGCCCTACTTCCGCTTAGAAAGTATACAGCTGCTTATTACAGTTTGTTTTGTGAGGCTATATTTTCAAACAGATAACTTTGTTCTTAATAAAAGAAATAAATTATACAATTTATCTGTGCTCAAATCTGCTCTATTTCATAAGATATTAATGATATTAGTTAATTCTGGTGATTTTGAAGCGAAAATTTGTTTTAGTTATTTATAGATGTGTTAAAAAAGATGACATGGTTGCTACATTTTAAAAGAACTCGTTTTTTTTTGGTAGTCCCGATTTGACCTCTTTTGTTTATTCCTGTCCGTTCTTGTTGCAAACCATGCATACGTTAGCATCATACGATAGAGTTAGTAAACTGTTCGAGCAGCGAGATTAAATTCATTTTACAAATTATCATTTAGTTTTAAATTTCAATATTGTTGTCAAGGTGTTTTATATCGATTCTTTTTTCAAATGACTATTCTTGAAATGACAGGTCTTCAAATAAAAACACTTTTAAAGACAAATAATAAATCAGGTATACAAGAAATACTACTCAAGAGAATCTCAAGACAAAATGATCACGTTGTGAGGCTTCAAAATACACCGGAAACAGTGACCCGGAAGTATAGGTTTCTACACCCTAGTGTAAGAAAATAATAAACAGTGCGCATGCGTTGCTATGGCGACAGCTGCTGTTTGTCTTTTTATTTTCACTAGCAGGCATTCTTAATGTATTAACATAATAATAATTTAAATTATTTTTATTTCCGTTTTGTTATTAAGGTATAATGACTGGCTTGACGGTGATTTCAATATAAATAGAAATGCTGAAGAAGGAAAAGTATTTTGTGACGTCTTGAACCACCTACATAGACAGGATTTGAAAACCAATCCGACGACAAACTTCAATTGGGACAGTTTTTGCGACCCATTATTTGAAATGTTGTGGAAAAAGCATTTGAGAAAAAGGCAGAAAGAAAAATCATTTGACATATGGGTAACCAATGATCTAATAAGGCGATCATAACTTTTTTGTCGATTTTTTAAAATAATTTTAATAGTATGTTACGATATTTATATATTTTATTTATTTTTATTGCGAAAAAGCTTCGAAGAACACGCTTTAAATTTAGTATTAAAAAATCCCCCAGCGGTTTCAATATTCCTAAGATAACTAAGCAGTTGTAATGCACGGATAAAAACGAAAGTACATATTCGTATGATGAACTCACAACGGAAACCATTAGCAAAGTTTTTAACTTTGAATTATTTTAATAAAAAAAGTCGGTGGGACATTGATTGATTGCCATATCATCAGGATCCATCTTACATGCCTCTATTCTTTCAACATTAACGTTTTCTATTACTTCTTTTGTATCCACTATAGATACAGCTCGAATAATTGCTTGTGTATATTAATTGAAAATGAGTAAAAATTATTTCGCGCAATGAGTTTTAATTTGAATTTTAGTTATCTTTTAACCAATGGTACAGACATAGAAAAATAAAAACAAATTTCTCAATGATTTAATGTTAATAGTTTATACAATCAAACCTCGCTATAGTGAACCTTTAAAGGACCGAAATTTCGGTTCACTATAACCGGGGAGTTATATCCATACCGCAAACAATTTTAACTAATCGTTCTGAACACATTATTTAAATAAATGATCCATTAAATGAAGCACAAAAATGACTAAAAAACAATAACAGAAAATGTGCTAAATTTAATGACTCTTCGTCTTGGGTATAAAAAATTTAGAAATGGGAAAATGAGATAAAAGAAGCAAACACATTCCACTAAATAGATGGTTTTAAAAATAGGTAAATATGTAGAAATTTCAAGAATAAAAATCAGTCGAAGACAGAAAACTCTCTTTTTTTGGTTCACTCTATTCACAAAAAATAACATTCCATGTGTACGTTTTGTTCACTATATCTGGGAGTTCACTATAGCGAGGTTGGACTGTATTAATATAATAGGAGAAAGTTTCCAGTAGTGCTGGATTATATGTAATGTCGCTATGTATTGTCTGCAAAGACAGTTCACGATTAACGTTATATTTTCTAATTTAATTAACTTATTTTTACACAAGTCAATATTTCTGTTAGAAATGAAATATATCAACATAATAGATAATTGCAGTTATCTATGTAGTATTCACGATATTCTACTTGATACTTATAGAGGCCGATAATGTTCACGCTGGTATCGTATTTGAAAATTATTAATACTTATAATACCTACGATATTATCGAATACTATAAGATAGTGAGCATTATTAGTATAGATAACGATTTGGCAATTATTATTAACTCGCGATATTATCCCACTCGATAATGATCGCGATAATAATGCATTTGATAATGATCGGAACGTTATATTCGATAATACTTGTGATATAGCAATCGAAAATTATCTTGATGTCGTTGTTTATAAATTTCCTATTTGCGATATCTTAAGAGAATACTCTTTAAAATAGTGTTATAGCGATGTCTAAAAATCGACATTTCACAGTACATTGATATACCCCCATCTCTACCAAAAGTAATTAGTCATGAAATTTCGAGGAATTGAAAGATCCCAGGCTTTATCGGCCTGTGTGGGCCCTGAATAATATCACAGTGTAAGTGTTGCCAACAAGAGCGGGCACTAAAATGTATAAATTTATTTTGTCATAAGTACATTGAAAAATCCGGCTCTTTGAAAATATCCTTAGCATTTTGCAATCAGACAGGCTAATTGGAAACGTCCTCATTATTTTCTAATCTGTTGTACATTTTTTATGTCTATTTAAATTCATCAATTTTGCTTTCAGATAAGATAGGAAACGAGTAAATAACTAATCTGACTCGCTTATCGCAATCCATAAATCTATAATAATACTATTTACAATAAGTCCTCTCTGATCTTGGAGTATTGCCAAATTACATAAAAATAAATCAGACTGATTGCAGTGTATATTTTTCAAAGAGCCGGAATTGTTGAATTATTCAACGACGCAATATATATTCCAATGATTACTGAAGATAAAAGTCTTGATTGTCGTAACAGCAGCACTCACACTCCTTAACAAACATATAACTCTAATAGAAAATTCATAAAAAGGATATTTTCACACAACACTGTCTATGCTATACGTTGAAGAAGCAAGAGAAGGCGTTAATGTTTCGACACTGGCCAGGGGTGGTTCATTTTTAGCTCTGCAAAAATAATTAACAATGGATTAGACAAAACGAACTCATGAAATGCTTTAGCAAATCTGCTATATACAGTGCCGAGTCAAATTATTTACGCACTATGATCTTTATTTTCAGGTGATACACTATACAGCTGTGTGCACGATTCCATCTGCCGGCACAGCCTGGTCGGTAGGGTTCTCGGCCCATGTCCGAGATTTCATGGCTTCGAACCCGGCCGGCCGAAGACTCCCCGCGTAGTAAAGTGACTGATGCACGTTAAATCTGTCGAGTCGCAAAAGTTCTCCCTGTTCCCATAACAAATCAATACCTCTGGGGGTACTGAATTGGAGATCGATCGTTCAGGTATTCAGATCAAAATTACGATCTGTGGATGAATGAATGTATGTATGAATGGGTCCGCCTTATAAACGGGTGTGACGTATGGTGTGGCAGAAGTCGAATTCCTGGCCATAGATGGCTCCACTGGAAAATATGAACAATGGTACCCACTCTGCCTAAACTCTGCGTCAACAACAACACTATACAGCTGTATTATTTTTATGTAACTGAAACCGGTTTGCCAAATAGGATGTATATAAGAATCTCCTGAATAAGAACCCAGGACATGTATGTTTAAATATAAAAGTATCGCATATAAACGAGCACAAAGCACGTAATTATTAAAACACTACAGTGCGTCTAATAATTTGGTCCAATTATTGCAATATACTAATATAATACCAGATATAATAAATATTTTATATAATATATCGTTCAATTTATCTAATCGCCGAATTTATATTATATATCGTCTAATTTAAACAATTGATACTCGAACGTAAATAAGTGCAAACCACGTAAAAGCAATAAAGCTGTAGAGTATCACCTGGTAATTAAGATTTTACATAGAATCTTACAGTTCGTCTAATAATTCTGTATTCTTGATGATTAATATGATGTTAAATTGAACCATATCATTCTATTCTTTAAACTTGGTTTCACGATATTATGATCAACTGATATATAGTTCAATTTAACTCCTGACTAAGGTTGAAGTGAATTTGCACTAAATTAGGCTTCCAATATTATAATTACGAAGTTGTATCTGGTTTTTCTGTGTAGTGGAAAACCGCTCATTAACCGTAGAATTATTTCGAATTTTTTTAAAATTCATTTGGATAGTTTGATTTAAAAAAATATGCTGTTTCCCTAATTATGCTATTTATTAAATGCAATTAAGATAATAAAATTATTCTACTTCTACTGGAACACTAATTATTGAAGGTTTCAACGTGCAGACGTGTTTCTGAAGTGACAATTTATTCATGTACAGCTCATAAAATTAGAGATGGAACACCTAAATAACTTTTGATAAAATGATTGGGATTACGCGTTCTAACCTCAGAAATAAAATTGCACTGCATATTTTAACATTTTACATAAATTTCTTTTGAAGAAAAATTAGAATAGAATCATTTTTATAAATAATAAGTTATGATTAAAATTTATAATAGATTTTATATAATATAATACAAGTTAGTAAAAACTACATGTTTGAATTCATTATTTTAAAGAAAGAAAATTGCAAAAAAATGTTTTTTCAGGAAAATAATCCAAAAGTAGATTTTTCAATCTTCCTTCTAAGTAGACTTTCGTTATAATAATCCCATTCTTCTGAAATGGTGATCAATCAAGCTCTCCAAATCGTCTTATAAATAATAAGTAAAAGTTGAATGATTTCTAAAAAGATTTCAAATTTAACACATCATTTTAATCTTAACAATTTTGAAAAACAGATTTTAAAATTTTATAACTGGTGTTACATGTTTTTTTTTCGGGTGTATTGTGCAACTATTAATGTACTTGCTGATTAATGATATCAGTTTGTTCAAATATTCTAAGATATATTCATACCGTACTAAGAGATCACTAATGGCGACTTCTGGAACTATCTCATGATGATGTATGGGAGATTTCTACAATTTTGATCAGAAAATTTTGCATGAGTTGGATGCTTAAATGTTGGGTGATATAGGTTAAAATAAAAACTGAATTTGTTGATGTTATGAAAATTATTTAGAAAAATTGGTATGTGAACAAAATATTATTCAAAGAAAAGATTGATGATATACAAAATTCCATCTCTTAAGTTATCTGTTTAACAACCAATTCATTTTTATTGGCAACCGAAACGGGTTTGCGCAGAGCAGAACTCTCTTCCTAAGGACAATACCATTAGCTTGTGGATGGTCGTAGAAGAAGGAAGTTTCTGTCATGATTTTTAGATAGATTAAAATTTTTCAAGCTAGGATGCTAAATCAAAAACTGCATTAAACATAGTTCTTAAAGAAAGCAAATTTGAAATTTAAGAAAATATTTTTGGTAATTAAATGCAAAAAATATTACACAAGGGGAAATTTTTGTAATACATTCCCATACAACTGCGCAGAGGGGGCGAAGATCAAGACATGGAGCCGGTCTTTTGCCCAGATGGCGCATTTGAGAGTTGCGGTCATAAATAGGTCTGGCATTGGAAATGTGAGCTCCAAATGGCAAAAAGGTGCTTATAAGAAAGGTAATTTCATTCTTTATTTTATATTTGCTACAATTTTTTTTAAATCTGTCATTCTTATAATTGTTTAAATTAAAACGTCTTAACTTTTTCCTGTTTCCCAAATGATCCACTTCTATTGAACATTTGAACTGATCTTGAGTAGAGTACTGCAATGAGTATTGCAATGAGTACTGCAATGAGTACCAAGTATAAAATTAAAGTAAATGAAAGAGCTTACTTCCTTTTGAAGTGATGTTTGGGTGTGTCCGGTGTGGGTAGTGTCATGATGAGATATGGGCCCATTGGATAGTCTGATTTTCGACCAGAAGGCACTTGAGAAAAATAATCAAGGCCGTTCAAAGTGAACACTTCAATTTTCTTCGCCTGGAAAAAAAATGCATCTATTATAAAGTTTATTAAAACAATGTTTTTTTTGTTGTTACTAGTAGTTCTAAATTGTGCAATATTTTTAAAATTGCACAGAACACATTTTAAAAAAATCGTGTTCTATCAGCATCGAATACTTTAATTTCAAAGATAATATTCCATATAGTTAAAGTACTGTCTAAAGTTTGATTTAGAAAAAAAAAATGAGATGGAAAAGAACGCTTTGCTACATTCTGCGTTTAAAACCAGAAAAATTGTCCCGCTAGATTTCAAGTTTTACATTTGTAACGTAGTAACAAAGTTCATACCCAACTAAGAGAAAGTGTAAAACAATGTTTTGCATGTTCAGATGCTAATATTTCAATCAAAATGGTCTGCCATGTTGCAAAAAAGCATTAAATAGCTCTTATAGACTGAAGTGCCCTCCATAAGTTACGTTACAAATCTGAAAAGCAATGTAAAAAATTTTTTCTTGTTTCCTTAGCAGAACACAGCACAACCGCACATTTTATTGTTCCCTTTGTTTCTTTTTTCCCCAGTAGAACACCGAAGTCAAGCATCATCGGCTGTGGTCAGTGGTGACCACTTTGTTCAACCTGCGTAGGGACCGAGAGTGCGTGGTATCGGCCCTCGTTAAACTGTTAGACCGTAAAGTACTCGACTTCGCGTACAGCTCGTTGGGTTACCGAAGCGAGAGTGCCATCACCTCTGTCGAGGATAAAAATTATGATGGCATGTCTTCGGCTCAATCTCAGAGATGTTTCAAGGACCGTCGCCAATAGCCCATTGTGCAGCTCTAGTGTGACGTAAATGAACTACTAGCATGAACTACTGCTACTACTAATGAGTCTAGCACTTTACGGTAGAACAGTTTAACGAGGACCTATACCGCACCCCCTCGGTCCCTAAGCAGACTGATCCAAGTGNTCTATGTACGTAAGACACTTGACTTTGGTGATCTGCTGGGAACCGTGTCTTAACGATCAGTCCACTGCGGAACATATACTGCATGCATAATATTAAAATAGGAAAACAACAATACAGTTGCGTATTAACTCCTTAAAACAACTCAATAATTTAAGAGACACAGGTTGATTCGACTCTGGAGAACATACCCTTTGAATGAGAGGAGTAAAATTTTGTATACAGTATGCACTCAAGAATGATGTTAAAAGCTATTGCGCAGCTCTCAGGGTAAAATTTCGAAAATTCCAAATAGCAGCACCCACTTTTTTATTACCAAAAACGTAATTTTTACAGAGGAAAACCTTGAATGGAATTGGAACGATACTTTTAGCAAACGAAATGGCTACGTTAGACTTTTGCCAAGCGTCACCAATTTTCGTGATCACCAATGGAAAGAAACTTTACTTCATTTTATAACCGTCGTTGAGCAGCCGATCCAATTTTATGGGTTTACAACCACTCATGTTCCACTCCGTAGTCTTGTCATTTTGAACCCATCCAGAAGACAGGGAAACTCCTGGATCAGTACCCACAGAGGTAAAATTTGCTATTAGAACATGGAAGACTTTTGTGACTCGATAAATTTAACGTGCATCTGTCACCATTTACTACTTCGACAGGCAGGGATCGAACCCACGACCTCCTGAACATGGGCCCAGTGCCCTACCCACCAGGCTATCCCGGCCGATGAAAAGAGATTGTGATGCTGTTGTTGCCGCAGGCCATTAAGGCACTGGAAGTGCGATTTTTCTTTTTTCCAGTGGCGCCATCTATGGCCAAGGGTTCGACTTCTGCCACACCTATTCGTTGCACCCGTTTATAGGGTGGACCCATACATTCATTCGTCCCCAGACCGTCATTTTGGCCCGAGCCTCAGAACGATCCATCTCCAATCGAGTACCCCGAGAGGTATTATTTGTTACTGGAACATGGAAGACTTAGTGCTCCGACAGCTTTAACGTGCACCCGTCACCATGGATAGTCTTCGGCCATCTGGATTCGAACTTCTGTTCTCACAAACGTGTGTCCAGCGCCCTACCGATCAGGAGAATGTGTTAAAGACTTTGAGGCAGAAAAGGCAGTGAAAGAATGACAAAGAAAGCAGTTAAGAAGAAAAAAAAATCTTGTTTGAACTTACTTTAACTTTCTTCCAGACTGTCTTATGGAGGCAGATGTAGAAGAGAAGTAAAGCGAAAAGGACGGCTGCCCCTGCATAGAATGCTTTGTTGATAACCACTCCACATATAAGAAGTGAAGAAGCCAACAATGTTATGGCTGCCACCACAGATCTTCGAAAGAATGTTTGATGGCCGCAAAGAAAGAGCCGCTTTGCCATCTCTCATCTTCCCAAAAAACTAAAAAAAGTCAAAAAATATCATTCACAAACTGAAAAGTTATTCTATTCCCGTTATACAGTAAAACCCCGATAGAGTGAAACTTCAAGGGACCGAAATTTCGGTTCACTATAACCGGAAGTTCACTATATTCGTACTGCAAACAATTTTAACTCATTTTTTCGAAGTGTTTCCTTTTGTTATACATTATTTAAATAAATGACCCATAAAAAGTAATATAAAAATGACCAGAAAACAATATGTAATAACAAAAAAATGTGTAAACTTTTATTTTTTGTAACTCTTCGTCTTGCGGCCAAACAATTTAGGGATGCCCTTTATTTAGGGATAGAAGAAGCAAACAAGAAAAAATGCTTATGGCTACATTCCACTGAATAGATGGTTTTAAAAATCAGTATATGTATGTTATGTGAAAATTTCAAAATTACTAAAAAATAAGGAAAAAAAATCAGTCAAAGACGTTAATCAGAAGAATCAGTCATAATACCATAAATCATAGTCATAATAAACACCTGCTATACAAGTTCATAATATCCTCTCTTCTTTTGCTTCACTATATCAGCAAAAAATAATATTATATGTGCATAGCAAGACCGGGAGCGAACATTTCGTTCACTATATCCGGGTGTTCACTATAGCTAGATTTGACTGTATCTTCAAAATTTCAGGTACTTATTCATTTTTTGGGGGCAGGGGTGCATAAAAAATGTATTACCAATGTACAAACATTAGATACTTATTACATTAGGCACGTGTTACCATTGTAACAGTTTACCACTATTCATTCAGCATCATTGGCTTTCGTCCATCTGTCACGGCCGCTTTATTAAATACCAAAGTATCCAGTGCACAATTTCTTAATATACTAAATACCCGAGTACTAACAAGGGAAACTAGGGAAGTGTGACTCGCCAATTTTGAAATAAACTAGTGGGATGTATGCAGGTGACGAACCTCCTAATGTT